TCAAATAAATGCAATATATTTAGATTACTAAACTGAAATAAATAATTTGGTAGTGAATTTTGATTGCAATCTAACATTCCTAAGAATATTTACGGGAGTATAAATAAAAGCAATAGTTATTTAGTTTTAATTTTTCTTCAATTTACTTTTAATATTGTGAAAAATCGAAATAAGGCCTATCTGCATGATGAATTTGGAAAAGAATAGTTTTATTAAATTTTCATGATGAACCTGGATAATATTTATATTTAGAAAAATTGAAAAGACAAACTTTAAATTTATTACTGCCAACAATTCGGTAGATATGGTCTCCCTCCAGCATTTAATATATATATATATTATATGTTGGTAATAGACCATAATTTTTACAATATTCTATAATATGGCCTTATTTGCAGCATGAATTCGAAAAATAAGTTCATTTTGAATTTTAATAAACTAAACGTTCACCAAAAAACTTTAGTGAGAAAAATCGAAAAAATGAACTACAAACATATTAACGCCAAACATTCGGTAGAATTTATAGAATATTGTAAAATATATATATATATGTGTGTGTGTGTGTGTGTGTGGTGTGTGTGTGTGTGTGTGTTTGTTAGTGTGTGTAATATTTACAATTGTTTAGGTATGTTCATTTGAGATGTTTAAAAGATTTTAAGAAATACACGCTGAAATGGTCTTCATATTAGTTTATTAGTTATCTGTCATTATTTTAATTCGTCTTGTTGCTTTTCAGTAATCCTGAATGAAAACGCGCAATTTTGAAAATGAACATTTAACGATTGGCATAACTATTAAATTCCCACTTTTTAAAAATTTACAAACATGAGATCGCATATGGTTCGAAAAATATGTAAAAAATTATTTTATACAATCAACATTTATTGTTAACAATCCAGAACGTTGCATCAAAGAATGAGAAAACATGTTGCTACGAAAAAAGTGTGATAAATATCCAACTCGCATCATTTCAAGAACAAAAACAAAAAAAAAACGTTGGAATAATTTTATTTCTCTGTTAATCACTATAAGTAAGAATGCAATTAGAGCCAAGCGTAGATGTACATTGGAACTCAAACGCTTGTGTTTACAAACTGAGTAACAATTAATTGAATGAAGTTCGTCGTTCATGCCAACTGAGCGCAAATGTGAGCCAAACCCAGCAATAAATAAATTAATTTTAACGACTTAATTTAATAGTGCTACGAATCACTGAACTAAATTCTGAAATATTTTTTCATTTTAATAAACTACATTTCCTTTTTTTCTGAAAAATTTTAAAATTCGTGAGTGTTTGCGTGGTGTATTCTTGAGAGATTATTATCAGCATATATTAACAACAGATGTTTAGATGTTTACAACTACTCACATTCACAAACACATTCGCGATTCATTGAAAGAAATAAATTAAACCTAGTGCGATAACACGCGCAGACGAGCACATTAATTACTACATAAACTTCCTTAATTGTACATCAAATAATTTATATACTTCAAATAATATATCTGTTTACTTATTTACTATTTTATTCAATTATTTTACTTTTTAATGAAAGCTAAAACAATTAGGCAAATTTTTAAAAAAAATTATTTCGAAATCTATGTTAAGTAAAGCTGCTTTAATTTGTTTTTATTTTCTTTATTCATTGGTTGTTCCTGACTTTATTTGCATATTTTTATCTATTTATTTGTGCTACTGATTAATTTATCGTTGTTTATATTTTCATTAGTATTTTTATAATGTATTTAATTGTTTGAAAAACTTTTTACAATACTTCTATCGTAATGAACATTGAAAATAATGACATTGATTCAAAAGAATATTTGAAATTCATTCAAAAAAATCAAAATAAAAATCTCAAACATAATAGCTTCATCGGAGCACTAGCTCCAAAAACGAGCCATAATCCCACCATCAATCTATCTCATCATCTCAGCATCCCACATCCAATCACTTCCTGCATAGTTCTTCCTCCATTTGAACCTGGGTAACGGTGAACGTGCTTTTTAGCAGTCCTTCTCGCATCGCAAAACATGTTACTATTTATTTGCCTCTTCAAAATTGTGGCATTCCTATTTACTCATTATACTTAATGTTGAAACGAAGCTGTATTTTTCAACAAGTAATGGTTTAACATTAAGAATAATGCAATCAATTAGAAAAAATTTTAATGAGTTTGTATTGATACTTGCTGCTAAATAAAATTAAATAGCGTTAGTTAAATTTTGAAAAGTTTTTAAGACTAACTTTTGGAAACTGTTATTAATTTAATATTATAAATCAATTTTGAAAAAAAATGCACAGAACTCCATTTTCACGTTGCTAATAAATAAAAATGAATAAATTACAAAATTTGTGTTATTTAAACTTTGAAATCCCTTTTGAAACAATAAATAATAAAGTTATGAAACGTTAGAGAACTCCAGAGAACTCAACATCAAGTAACAAAATGTTAAAACTCACAACGCTAACAAGCAAAACAGCCTCAACAACAGTACTATTACTAAGAACAACAAGTATATACATACACGTACATATGCGTACGTACAGGCACACACTTACATACACACACGTACAGTACAAACACACAACACAACGCACAGAGCAAGGAACAGATGTCTCGTGTCCCAAATACAGATAAGGCGGTCATGAAAGTGTGAAGTAACATAATAACAAATAACAAACGAACTAAAGTCGGTGCAAAACACGTTCCTACACAGCAGCGCGTTTTAGACAAATTTTATTAAACATCTCATGTTAACGCTCGTTTCCTCTCCTAGTATTAATAATAAATTGTTTTAAAGACATTCATTCTTCCACACAACAAAAAATGTTATATTTATAAATCGCGTGATAACTGAATCATTTAAATGCTGTTTTGTGTTATCAGTAAAGTTGTATATATAATTTAACATTAAAATATATGTCTGTTTCGCAAAATTAAATAAATAAATAAACAACACGTTCACACACAAATACGCTTATATGCTAAAATGACACGAAATGAAACAAGTAAATAACTCTTGAGTAGAACGTGTATGTTGAGTGTATTTATTTAATTAAATTCCAAAAAAGATATAAAGTTGTTGCGCTTTTTCAAGTTCTCAATCGTACGTAATTTATTCATAGTTTATTTTCAAATATATCGACGTGATTGCTTCATTATCAAGCTAACTTTAAGTGAAATGTTTTTCTATATAAATGGTGTGAAAAATAGTGAATGAAATAAATTGAAATGGAATTAGGAATTAAATAAAGTAAATGGTATTTATTTATAATGGTATGTTAATTATTTGTTGTGCCTGTGAACGTTGGGGAAATTAGATTAAAGTGTTAACATGTGGTTAGATTGCAGTTGTTTGTACTTGGTTGATTGTTTGTTTGTTGTTGGTTGATTGTTTGTTTGTTGTTGGTTGATTGTTTGTTGTTGGTTGATTTCCCCGCAAATAAAGAGCTTTAAAAAATAGAGGATTCCTAAATGTGGTGTTCTGGAGACAAGAGTTTCTGGAGACCACCCGTGTGATTTTCTTGTTGTGTATCTATTTCGAGCGTAAAGAAGTCACGTCAGCCATTCCGATAAAGGTTTGTTTGCTTATGCAAGTATAAATTTTGTGTTGATATTGGTGGGCGAATTTTGTTTTTTGGAAAGCCTTTATTATTAGTTGTGATTGGATTTAATATTATAAATGTTTCGATCGGTAATAACAACGATGCTCAATATTTGTTTCTATATATACATATATATATATATATATATATATATATATATAGGCAATATATATATATATATATATATATATAAATTAATTTTCCAGTTATTTTTACTAATACTAATATTATGTTTCCATTTGACTCGTATGATCCTGTTGAACAGACTGAAATATTGTTATGGTTTAAATAAGATTGCGATAATGTGGTTGGAATCATTTCTTACTGGTCGGACTCAACAGACCTAACTCAGGTTTTCTCTCGGAACCAATAAAACTTACGCCAGGGGTGCCTCAGGGATCTGTTCTTGGACCGATTCTCTTTAATTTGTATGTTGCAGAGATACTGGAGTTACTGAATAAAGGTGGTTATTATTGCCATGGGTACGCAGATGACAAGCAGATATGTGTTTCATGTTTTCCAGATGAGATGCCTACCGTATTATAGAAACTGACAAAAACTATATCTGATGTCGGCTTGTGGTTGGGTCAAAGTAAGCTAAAGTTGAATCAGACTAAGTCTCAGTTCATGTTGGCTGGTACATGGCAACAAACGTCAGAGGTTAAACCTTCATCGAATAGCATCAGTATGACCGATATAAGTTTCAGTAAAACGGTCACCAATTTGAGAATTGTGATGGACTCTTGTATGACAATGGGCCCACAAGTCAATCTATTGGTTAAAAAATGTATGTTCCAACAACGTCAGTTTAAGTCAAGCCACAAAATCGGTAGATAGAGATACCATGGCACTATTAGTACATAATTTTGTCAACTCTAGATTGGATTATTGTAACAGTCTTCTATATGGTACAGCTGATAAACTGTTGTCAGATTGTTCAAAACCAGGCTGCTAGAATGGTATACCGCAAATTAAAATTTGATCTTGCATCACCAATTCTAAAGGAACAAAAAAATCATGTTCAAGTTGGGTTTAATGGTATTTAAAAGTTTGAATGGTCTGGCTTCAAAATATTTAGAAGATAAATGTATTAGAGTTTCATCTATGTCATCACATGGGCGCCTAAGGTCTGCTGATTCAAACACGCAGTATTTTAGAGATCGGAATCTGAAAACAGCAGATAGAGATTTTGCAGTTGCTGGGTGTGTTTTCTGGAACATCCTACCTATTGAATTACGTATATTTGGGTTAACCCAGTCTTGTAGTTGGCAACAACTACATGCCGGTCCCAAGTCCGGATAAATGGGGAGGGGTGAGAAAAGAAATAGCAAACTACCTCACTCTTTTGCTGAAATACCTTATGGATTAGTACAATCAACTAAGTTCAGATATGGTGCTGGAAAGTGAGACCCCTGGGCTGGAAGGCACCTATCATATTACCAGAGATGAACGTGAACGTTTTTCAAGTAGCGAAGGCATTTATGACGTGGACGAGACAAATCCATCAGGACTCCCGCCTGCTGATGTGGCTCCGAGCAAAAGGAAGCGTCTACGTTTTTCAACAACTATTCATAATATCAGCACATGGAATGTTTGCGGCATGAACATAGGCAAGCAAGAAATGCAACGACTTCATATCGACCTGGTAATCGAAGCTTCACTGGACTGGTAATGGATATTTCAAAAACGATGAATACACCGTCGTCTACTCTGGAAACGACACCATCAAACGCAATGGAGTGGCCTTCATCGCAACAAAAGCAGTCAGCAAAGCTGTATACTCTTTTAACATTGCTAGCGATCGAATTATATCCATACGCATCACTGGAAGCCCCCGCTCAATCACGGTTCTACAAGCATATGCACTAACAGTAGATGCACCAAAAAAAGACATTGAAGATTTCTATATCAAACTCCAAGAGACAATCGACCAGCTCGTGACATAATCTTTGTAATGGGAGATTTTAATGCGAAGGTCAGATCAGGTGAAGACTTGCCTGCCGTCGGCAAATTTAGTCTTGGTGAACGAAATGACGCAGGAGACCGCCTGATCCAATGTTGAAAATCGTCTCTCGATCATGAACACCTGGTTTGAACAGCCGATACAAAGGCTGCACACTTGGACAGCACCAAACGGTATATATCGAAACCAAATCGACTACATTCTATGTCAGCGCTGCTGGAAAAGCTCAATACTAGCAACGAAAACCTATCCAGGTGCTGACTGCGGCTCGGATCATCAGCTACTGGTTGCTAAAATCAAAATTCGTTTCAGCACCATTAAGAGACCTCAAACGTTACGCCGCTTTGACACAGACAACATCCCCGCACAATACGCAGTGGAAATAAAGAACAGATTTGAGGCTTCAGCGACTTCAATGAAAAGCCTGATAAAATGTGGGAGGAAATCAAATCGATCGTTGGAAAAACAGCAGAGAAAATCATCCCGATTAAGAAATCAATGAAAAGATCAAAGTGGCTGACGGACGAAGCAATCAAGATTGCCGAGCATCGTCGCATGGCCAAGGCAAAGGGAAACATCGAGGAATTCCGACTACTCAATGCGGCATTCCAAAAAAAGACCAGACAGGACAAAGAAGCATACTGGAACAACCAATGCAAAGAGTTGGAAAAGGCGAACCGACAAGGTCACACCCGAACTCTTTTTACCTATGTCAAGCAGGCCAGAAAATCTTTCACGGCATGCAAAGTGTCTACAGTTAAGGACAGTGATGGTACTATATTGCAAAAAGAGGGGCAAATCAATGGCGGGACTGTGCAGAGGAACTATACGCTGGCAATCCATCAATCCAACTGGTTGTTCGGCCACAACAGGTAGATCTGGAACCGGACATTCTGGGAGAAGAAGTCAGTTGGGCTCTAAAACAACTACCAAACAGGAAAGCCCCAGGCACGGATAATTTACCAGCAGAACTACTCAAGCCAATACCAATTAAAATCCTTACTAAATTGTGTCAGAAAATCTGGAGCACAAAATCATGGCCCAACGACAGGACAAGATCAGTTTTCGTCACGCTTCCTAAAAAAGGCGATCTATAGGAATGTTCCAACTATCGAACTATCGCGCTCATTTCCCATGCCAGCAAAATCCTGCTAAAGATTCTACAAAACCGCATTGTGGCAATCATGGAACGGGAACTACCAGATGTTCAGGCTGGCTTTTGCAAAGGACGAGGCACGAAGGATCAAATTGTGAACTTACGCTGGATCATGGAGAAGGCTGGAAAATACTAGAAGGACGTCTATATGTATTTCATTGACTACACCAAGGCGTTCGACTGTGTGGACCATGACAAACTCTGGACGTGTTTGAAACAAATGGGCGTACCAGAGCACATTGAACAATTGATACAAACACTGTACTCCAACCAGGAAGCAACTGTCAGAACATCGTGTGGTAACACCGATTGGTTCAAAATCGGTAAAGGCGTCAGGCAGGGATGTATTTTATCCCCAGCTCTGTTTAACCTGTATGCCGAAACCATCATGCGACGATGCAATCTGGACGAAATCACAATCGGAGTCCAACTTGGAGGTAGGACTATCAACAACCTGCGATATGCGGATGACACAACTATACTTGCAGAAAGTGAGAAAGACCTGGAATACTTGATCCAACGAGTTCAAGAGGAAAGTAAACGCATGGGACTGTACCTCAACATCAAGAAAACGAAAGTAATGACAACGGCATGCAATGATGCAGTAAACATCAAGATCAACAATGAACAGATCGAGACAATACAAGATTTCATTTTCCTGGGAGCCAAAATTGACCGAAACGGCGAATCTGAACCAGAGATCAAAAGGCGGATTGCACTTGGCCGGGCTGCAATGCAAGGAATAGATAAAGTTCGGAGGAGCAAGGATGTGAGCATTGCAACAAAAACGAGACTTGTCAACGCCATTGTCTTTCCCATAGCAATTTATGGATGTGAAAACTGGACAATCAAGAAAGCGGAAAGAAGAAAGATCGACGTTTTAGAACTTTGGTGTTGGAGAAGACTACTGCGTATTCCCTGGACATTGCGGGCAACAAATAAGACGGTCTTAGACCGTATCAAGCCAAAAATGTCTCTTGAGGGCAAAATCGTCAAACAACAACTCTTCTTTTTCGGCCATGTTATGCGCGCAAATTTGCTGGAAACTTCAATGATGCTAGGTAAAGTGAGTGAGACAAGAAGAAAAGGACGGCAAAGAATACGTTGGCTTAATACGATCACATCGGCCACCAAAATGACGATCTCAGAACTTAAAATAATCGAGAGGACAGGAACGCATGGAGAGGACAGATCCATAAAGTGGCCGAAAGTCGACTTCGACTAAATGGCTAATCCTCATCATATTTGGGTTATCATTAGCTGAGTTTAGAAAACGTCTAAAGACATACCTATTTGGTAACTCCTAATGATCTCCACCAATGATGGCTTTGCTTTCAATAAGCTTTATACGAGGAGAGCGCTGATGAGAAGCAATTATCATTTGCGCTCTATAAATACAAAATTTGATTTGTATTTATTTTAAAATATCACTGCGTTTTTTAATATTTCGTACTGTATTTTTATCATTGTTTTTTTAGCATAGTTAATATATTTATTTAATTGATTGAGCTCTTATACAAAATTTATATTTAATTTATGCATTTTTTGAACAGCGTTTCCTTTTACTTGGGTCCGTTGTTTATGCGACAGAGTATTTAAGTGATATGAGAAACATTTCAAGATTGATCACCTTTTGTTACGTGAGATGTAAATTTGTACACATTGCATTGCCTTGTGTTTTATAACTTTTTATGTCTGATAAAATTAGCGTAGTACAGAAATAAAACTTATTTTTGTAAAGCTGCATTAAATGAAATATTGCAGAAGTGAAAAATTGTAGATTGTTGAGATTCTTTGCTAACGATAGACTTATTCCAAATAATAAGAAAAGCTGCGAAATTTTCATTACTGATTTTGGTGGACATCAGGAGAATAAAAAACGCAAACAATAGATTAAAATTTGTAGTGCTCTCTTTTACTGCAAAGAAAGATGACTTTTTTATATTTTAAAAATAACTTTGAAAAAAGTTATTTTTAATATTATCTTTAAACTTCAAAACAGTTATTTATTTTAAGGTTTTGTATTTAACATTTTAATTTTTAAATTACAAAAATTCAATTTACGTTTGAAATTATATTTACAACGATTATCTTAAACTTCATTGTTCGCAAAAATAGTGCCCAATCTCATGCTCGAATTTATGAAGTTATGAATTAATGAATATGAAAATAATCATTTTACACTTTGATCTCCCAAATCACTTTTTAGACAGGATTAATAAGCTTTTATGCTACAAAAAAATGTTTGCCAAATTTAATTTCAATCGGACGTTTGGTTTTGGAGATCTCGTGAACGGTTAGTGATTGAATTGGGTGATAAATGGCTTAAATTAAAAGATTTAAAGAAAAATAACTAGCTATATCTTATAATGTAGGGTTGTTTGTAGGATGAAGTAAACGATCTTTCTATTGTAAATGAACCTAGTTGGAAATGTGATACTCGTCAAAATGGCTCACAGCTTATTTCTAGCTTGTGTGCAATCTCGTTTGCATGTTTGCATAATCAAATTTAAGCTAAAGGTGCCTACAACTCATGTCACTCAATTAGATGCAGTACTTAGTGATAAATATCAATCTATTTGTTAATGGTTACCAGAGTATTCTTCCTACTTTTTATGCACGCGTGATAGTAATCGTTTGTTGTTCTATCAATATTTATTGATTTTTCGTTATTTTTTGATTGTTCGTTATTTGTTAATTGTTTAATTTTTTCTTTTTTATTTTACCGCATTGCAGTCCCCGGATGGTGCTGGGGTGTGCCCTGCTGGAATGGGGTTTTATTCTTATGTGGTTATTTTGTTTTGATTAAATCGAATTATATAAATTTATGTATTTTAAAAATTCTATTAGTTTAGTTACGTCTTCGCGTGTCTTAAAATTTTGTGAAAAATATTTGTCAATTAGATTGTCATCAAATGAGGTTTTGCAAGCTATTATGTGTTGAATTGATAACTTATATTTGCAATATTGGCATATAGGTTGGGCCATCCCATAATATAGGTGTCCATGAGCTAACTTTGTGTGTCCCATCATTATTCTATTTATCTTTGAGTGCTATTTGTTTTGAATCTTTTTTGATCAATTAATGGCATGATCTGCCTTAAGTATTGATTGCCATTAATTCATCGCTAACTTACCAGCATATAGGTTGCGCTTACAAATCAATAACATGCGTACCGCTTATTTTGAACGAAGAAGCAACATTTTTTAGTTTAACGTATTTTATGGAAGGGTTTTCACCTTTTAATTTATTGATTTGATATTTATTTGTATATAAGATATTTATTAAGATACAGCTGAGATATTTATTTTTAATTTCATCTTGGGCAAAAAGTTAACTTTAGTTTCAGAATCCATTTCTATCTTACATAATATGAACTTTCACTACATATTTTATTAATTTTTAATGTGCAAACATTCATCAATTTTGAATTATTAGAACAAAACTTTAAATTAATAAAAAAGAATTTTTTAAAAATTGCAGCTTGATGTTGTTTGTGTGAATTCTCAGTTTAGTTATTCAAGTATGGAGCCCTGAATTTACTGATGGTCTTGAAAGGCAACTCACGTTCGAACACACATCATTGCTGTTGAATAACCAAAACAACGAATTTATTTCATTATAAAAAATATAAATTGGGCTTATCGTATGTTATCGTGAAATATGTCGTCTTCAGTTAGGTTGTGCTAGCTTAATGGTGCAAGATGTTGCTGTTTGTGTTGTGCAGAATTGCTTCACTACTGATGGCTTACATGTCGGAACATTTTGAAATTTGTACCTGAAAATATTACAAAGATGTAATCGAAACATTTATAAAATATCTTCTAATAAACGCCGACTAAAATTTTTATAACTCATTATTTTGTTATTTAAAGGAAGAATTAATTATTTAAAAAGTTAAATAACGAAAATAACGATAACAATAGCATTAAATAAATAAATATACGAACAACAACAACACAACTACTCCTACTAATACTACAAATTACTACTACTACTACTACTACCACTACTACTACCACTGCTACTACTGCTACTACTACTTCTACTACTTCTACTACAACATAACAACAATAACAACAGCACAACAACTACAACAGCAGTAACAGAAACACAAGAAGTCATAACATCCTTCAACGAATCCATCCATCATATGCAGACATCTCATGTTAATTCATCAAACACCAACAGATATAAATATGTAATTTTGCGAGTTTATTCATTCATAAAGTTAATGTGAAAACAGCGCGCACGCATTGAAGTATGCATGCAGGTCATAAAAATATTATAGGCAACAAACATTTATAAACAGACGAACCAAACAAATTTAATTTAATGATATTTGTAAATTATAAATATATTATTTCTTAAAACCGCACATACACACTCAACACACAAAACACACAACATTTTAAATGAATCATGCATAATATATAAAATATGAAAACATATATAAAATATGGAAAGAAAACATAAATCGCATATGCAATGCAGAATGATAAGATGAATTCTGTAAATAAGCCACTATTCATACGCAAACAATTATACATATATGTTTATGTGCATCACACACACGCGCACACACACATACACACACACACACATATATATATATATGATTTATTTAAAAAATGAATTGATTGATGGATGGGCATGTACAAAATCTGAATTAAAGTGTAATTGAAAGGTCATGTTGCTTATTATTTACATTCCAACTTGTCAATTCACTAGAAGTAACCAAAAATTTCAATCAAAAATATATAACTCCGTGCCTTTTATAGCAATTTTTATAATAAACTGAAAAGTAATTTAAAAGAAATAAATGATAGTACAAATAATGTAAATGTTCACCAACAACTGAATGGTAAACAACTGAATGTTAAACAACTGAATGTTAAACAATGAATGCTAAACAACTGAATGTTTAACTATTGAATTTTGAAAATTATGACAGTGTTCAGTAGTTAACAAAACTTGACAAAGAAACACATCTATATCGCGCTAATTCTTATCGCTATTAATTTTATATAATTATATAAACGCTGCGCATTTTGGCAAAAGTAGACTAAGGGAAAAATTTTGCCTCTAAAATATTTTCAAATATGTCCCATTTTAAAACAGCTTGCACTTATTTACTAAATATACACCGCTAACAATGTCGTGAAGTTCTACTACCGCTTATAATTTCATTCACATTTTTTAATTCTGCTTCATTGATTGGTTGGTTTACTTCAAATTTCTTATAAATTTGTAACTGTAAAAAAACAATCGTTAACTGAATTATTAAATTTTTAGTTAAATTTAGTTCAAAAACTCTACCGTGAAAATGTTTATCTGATTATTATTATGGAAAATTCAACATTCATTTTCGTCCTAAGCTTTTTATACATTCTTCAGGAAATACAAAATTTTGGATATTGGTAGTAGCAGCATTAATTTTTCAATATAAGTAGTTATAATAAGCCATCAATTTTAAAAAACATCTTCTTCATCTTTTTAATTTATGTACGAAAGTATCACCGTTCGTTAACACGTGAAACCACCTTTTTTATAATGAAGGGATGACACTAGAAAAAGTTCAACGAAAAACTGAGCATTACAGTGGCTAAATTTAATCAATAACATAATGCGGTCTCCTTATTTATCGACATTCTAAATTTGAAACAAAATACATTTAGCGTAACATGTTTATACTAGAAAAAAAAACAGCAATTACAGGATAGTTCAGTATAAACTGTACAAAAGGAATAAAATCCTTTTTAATAAGACATGTGGATAGGAGCTGGAAAGACATATTTTCAAAAACGCTGATTGTTGTTCAATAAATTTAAATATTTAAATATTACCGAAAAATTTGAATAAAAACGAAATTAATTTTTTAGGCAGGCAATTCGCGCACTGATAACATGATCATAAACATATCCACAAAAAGTTGATGCAAGTTAAATTTTTGGACGCAGCGGCGTATGATGGACAAGAAAAATGTTGATAGCTGTAATGTTGTATAAGAAACATGCTTGCCTACTGTTTAAAATATATAAATATTTTGTTAATGAGGCTAACATTAATTTATAATTTTTATTCATAATAATTGATTCACAAAACATTTTTCAAGTGTGAGTTGAATTTTGATGCAATTATTAACATTAGTGAAGAATATTTTGATAGATAAGATTAAATAATGCATTCATCCAAAGAACATACCTATTGACGGGTAAGCACTTTCTTTGAAGAAAGTTGCATCAAACGAATTCGAATTATGATTAGGAATAAAATAATTATTTTGGAAATTAGAAAAGTGAAGATGGGACGCGGACTTCGTAACATGTTGTTCATTCTGAGGGATGTAACTATTGAAAGGTGGCGTAAAATCGTGCATGATGTTTCCATTGCAATTTTTTGAGTAAGTGTTATTATTGTAGTTGATCTCGTTGTTGTTGCTGCTCTTGATGTTATTAATATTTTGCATTTGGTTGTTGCAGATGTTGATATTACCAACACGGACAACGGCATCGTTTGAGTTAGCGTTTTTGCATAAGCCATCATTTGATCTCGACAAAATATTAACATTGTTATTGTAATGAACAGTATCGTTTGTTATATTGATGTTAAGATCGTTTGTGTTATTAATCGCCGAAATATTTTTATCCGTGTAAGCAAAATCGTTAGAACGAGATTGGTTGTGTTGAAAAGTTAAGTGTGTTGGAACGTTGTAACTTGTAGCTAGCCTCTGTTGACAGCAGGCATTTGATACTTGAACATGATTTTCGTAGAGTTTGTTAACGTTGGGCATTTCATATGAATGAAGAAATGAAGTTTTTTTGAATGTCGTCTCCGTCTGATTATCAGAGAGCTCGTAGAAAGAATTTTTCATTGTGTAACTGTCACAACACTTTTGCCAAATAAATTACCAAATATTTTTTATCACCTTTTTGCTGTTCATGTTATTTTGATTAAAATCAATAAAATTATCATAAATCTCACACTAAGCTTTAAAATTTGAAAAACTTCCAGTGTTTTAGTTGAACCTCATTTAATATAACAACATCAATATAGGTTAAATTAAATAGACAAATTAATACACACATATGTGTATATTGTTATATATATATATATATATATATATATAATGCAGTATTGTATGAATACTACCGAATATTGAAAATAGAATTATTATCCAAGTTCATCATGAAAATTTAATATAACTGTTGTTATCCAAATTCATCATGCCTCGTCAGGCCTTATTTCAATTTTTCACAAATTATCTTCAGTTCAGGTTAGGTAATGTGTTGGTAATAATATAATCATTCTTTTTGTATGTTTATTTAGAGTTAATTAGTATCTATTAGAACAGTTTTTGCAATTTTTAGATGTATTGTGTTGGTGCTTTGATAACTTGTTTTGTATTGCGACCCTCAGTTGAGGATGAATCAACTGTGGGTCGCAATACGGAACTGAAAATAATTACTAATCTACAATAGTGAAGCCGCCGTAAAACCAAAATACGAATCTGTTGACGCGGACAGTCGTCAATAGGGCATTTAAATTCATATATTACATGATTATGCTTCAAAGTAGAATCGTCTTTAGGAAAGCAGTTATTCGTTAAGACCATTTGTGATATACTGAGTCATATTTTATTAGTGTCATTGATTGGTGTAAAGTTTCTTTTTATGATTTGTTTGACGACGGCTTGGTCTATATGTGCATCTGACATATGAAAGCTGTTATATAGAGTTATGTCGTTGTCATTGTTTTTTTTAAATATATTGCTATTTTGATGTAGTCTTTATTTATTGGATGATGTTTCCAATGGATAATGTTTTGTAACAATTGCTAACTATTACATTAGTAATTCTTTCCGGTTCCGTAATGCGATCCTCAGTTGAGGATGAATGCACGTGTTCACATAGGATATTATTGTACTTATTTTGAATCGTTCCATGCATTCGCTTAGCCCAATTAAACAAATACATTTATTTGTTGCTTTGAGGTATGCTTGATATCAACAAACCACAAACTAACATCCAACATAAAATTACCAACTCGACGCTTTAATACCAACTTCACTAACAATGAAAAACTAAGAAATGACAAGAACAAAGATTAAGAACACAACACTAAGTAACTCACTTTGCTAAAGAATTAACTTTGCTTTGCTTAAAGAAACTATATAAAACAAATCTGCACTGATGATGATTTATGGAAAATGGAAATATGGCCTTACCTGCTTGATGAATTTGGATAACGACACTTTGATTAAATTTTCATGATGAACTTGGATAATAATTCTATTTTCAATAAATTGAATAATTTCCGGAAAATTCTAGTACACACACACACACACACACACACATATATATATATATATATATATATACACACACACATATATATATATATATATATATATATAGTGTTTCATTATGAAATTAATGTTTACTGCAGATAGCGCTTTTGAGAATCTTAACTTTATATTAGCGTTTTATAAATTTAATAATATATTTATATTTATATATTAACAACATTTACAATTTTTAACATTAAAAAATACTTGATAAAATTGAAATTTTCAATTGTGAATTTTTTACTTACAAAAACTTTTCAAATTTATCTAACAATTGACAAATTAATTCAAACAAATTACAAGGGCATTCAGACTACTAACCAGTTAATGCAGACATAACAAACAAACGAAACCATTATTACGCCAACATGGCAAACGCATCTTTTCACGGAAGAATAACATCAGCTTCATTTAGGCTCCTCCTTTTGAACACGCCCATCTATCTATCAACCAATCATATTTCTTCCCTGCGTAAAATGACTGGTTCAAAGAAGTACTATATTGCTTTAATAATTACAACAATAAAATTATTTATTTGAATTTTCGTGTTTCCAACTTTTCTAATGAACCACACATTTCTAAAGTTCTGATAACAAAAAATTAAAAAATTATTAATGGTAACTAAGCAGTTTTATACCTATACCCTCATAGGAAAAAAATGTTTTCAACTAATTAGTATCATAGTTACACCAAATACTTAACAATGTTTTGCTCATAATGCTATTTCAAATATAAATTGTATTATTATTATTTTAAATAAATGTTAAAATGCAATTTTTATAATTGTTAGCAAATTAAATGTTCACATAACGCCTTCATAATTAAAAAAAATTTTATATCTCTTCACTCCTTCTTTCACTGTCAAAACCGAATTGGCTTAAATTTAAAAGTTTTATCAGCTTTTAAATTTTTGAATACTTCTTAAATCAAAGTTTAAATGTAAATTTTATAGCCGGTTCCAAAAAGGGGAACAGGTTGCCAGGATTATGGAACCAAATTAAAACACATTGATATTAATTTCAAACAAAACCATTGCATCTTAGCCCGTCGGAATCGCAAATTCGCGCCGGTGTCGGAAATTTTTGAAGAGCCAGAGTCTGATGTTTTTTATAAATTTAAAACTAAGCTACATTTAGCTAACATTAAAAAAGCTAAAGAAAACAATTCCATTGACTGATTTCAAGTGCTTTTTAAATTAATTTTCGTTCAGTAGTGATATTTAAGTAAAATTGTAATGCAAAATTTTAAAATTTTATTTTTTTGTCTTAGAAACCGGAGTCAAGTAGGAAATTTATTATAAGAAGCTGGAGTTGAATATTTTTCATCAGACTCCAAAAACCTGGTAAGAAATAGACTCACATTAAATAAATAATTTGTTTTGTTCATTCCTTACCTCGTTATTTTTTCTGCCATAAATTTATTGTTTAATTGAACAAATTTGTTAAATTTATCTAAACAATTACCTTGAATGATTTTATTTATTTATTCATTCATTCATTCTTTTATTTGTCGATCCATCTATTTAGCCATCTATTTATTCGTCCATATATCTATCTATTCAATTATCAATTCATCCATCTTTCTGCTTTACTATCAGTCCAGCCATTCTTTCATTCATTCCAATCCGCCAATTTTGATGTGTTTGTTATGAATTTGTTATGTTCTGTTGTTAGCTTGCAAAACCGTTTATTCATTCATCCATCCATCCATTCATTCATTAGTTTGTTTATTTATTCAATCATTTATATGTTCATTTGTTCAATCGTTACATATTCATTCATTCATTTATTCATTCATCTATTCAACCATACATCTATTCAATCATTAATTTGTTTATTTGTTAAATTGTTACTCATTCATTCAATCAATCATTCATTCATCCATTTATTTATTCATTCATTCAATTATTTATTCATTCATTCATCCACCCATTCAATTAATCATCCGTTCATTAATTCATCCAATCATTCATTTGTTTGTTCATTTATTCATTCATTCATTCATTTATTCATCCATCCACCCATTTATTCATTCATTCCAAAGTTCATTCATTTAGACGTTTCGGCTCCATACACTTTAAGAGACCCAAGACGAGCAACACCTGATCTTCTAATGATTGAACAGCAATGCGCGGACTCGTCGTTTTCATAACAGTTACATTGCCTTCAAATTATAGATTAAATAAATTTGATTTATAAATAACTGTGCAACATATAATTGAAATATTTTTTGAACAATAACCGTAAAAAACATGGACAAATAATTTGATGTTACATAAAATGAAGGTTATTTATCCAAGAAGTTAGAAAAAAATTATTTGACTTGCTGATCAATCAATCACGAAGGAAGTTGTTAAATAAGTTTACTCATGAGGAAGTGAATTTTTATAGCTTTCAATTAGTTGCGCAAATGCCAACATATTCATGCACGCACAATTCAAACTTACGATCACTTCTATGTTTCAAAGCAGGTTTGAAGTTTAAAAATCATAAACGAGATAGTATATAAATAAATTTTCACAATTGAACAAATAATTTCAATTTTTTATTTACATGTTTAACTGTGAAGGAACGAAGCAAAAGAAATCAATAGAAATTTTGTTTGTGAGCGTTGATCGCATGATACTGACTCAGTCTCAGTTCTCGTTCTCAGTCGAGCATTTTTAGTGTTAGATGCTTTCAAATCAACCAATGCCAACTCTCTGCGTCCTCTACATATGTTGGTAACTTTAACAAGTTTAAACAACCTTTTGCATGCATCAGCTGTAAAACTTGTGAGCTTGCGTTGTCGTACAAGAGGCCCATTATTTAAAACGAATAACATCAATAGCATTGGCATCACACATGCCTAAGAGCTTCTGAGAGCTGTCACACTGAAGCTGCCCTGGTGATCTGGCGACGTTACAAAATTTTACAGCACTGTGCCAGTTTGTACGTGCATCATGAGTCTTCGCGATAGCTTGATTGCTGTCATACTAATATATTCAGAATTATAATGCACATACTCACCAATATTACATCTGATCTGTTATCAATTCTGGCTTATTAGTGCAATCGTTTTTCATCACGAGAGATGTTCTTTGGTTGGAGTAGTATATTCGTAGGGCTCACCGACAAAAACAGCGCAAAATAGCACTCGATCGGAAAAATTCCTAAATGTCACTAGAAATCTTGGTTTCACTTGGCGATTTTGTTTTTCACGACCAATATAATCATCATCTCAGTATTCGTACATTTTTCATTTTTTTAACATAATCTGGGCGAGCTTCACTAAGCTCTTCAAATGAAGTGAAGACTAGACGCAGTAGTAGAAGAAATGAAAGAGCTAGCAACATTTTACAAAGAATTGTATGCTTTCATTTTTTCAATATGCAGTATATGCAATAGTGAAATTTTCTTTTTTGTTTAGAAACTTTTGCGCTGTTTTACGCCATTTTGTGTCTTCGCTGTTTTGTCGTGGGCTATTTTGACGGGTCACCATATTCGTAGTTTAATAATTTACTAATTAATCTAATACATACATATATATATATATGTATATATATATATATATATATATATATATATATATATATATATATATATATGTTTTTTCTCTCTCTTTTTCTCTCTCCCTCTCTCTGTCTTTATATATATATATATATATATATATATATACATACATATCTCTTTCTCGGGTCACCATATTCGTAGTTTAATAATTTACTAATTAATCTAATATATATATATATGCAATGTTCATTTGACTGACAGTGGCTGGTCCCAGGCTCAGCTGCCGGTGCGGTATGGTGGTCTGGGGTTACTCAGTGTGGTTCAATTGACACCAATCGTCTATAAATCTTCTGCCGCTGCCACTCCTGACCTCCAGTCCGCCTTGCTTTGCCGATTTTGTTGTTGCTGTGACATCCCACCACTGCCGACCACACCTGAAAGCCCTTCACAAGCTCAAATTTTAGATGAGCAATATAAGAAGACTTTTCATGAACTTCTGTCTTCTGGTGTCGGTGCTTCGGTGCTTCTTCCTCCGCCCGCTTATTGGCTGCAACTAGTGATGTTAGTTTTGGTTGGTTGAGGTCGTGGCCCAACACTTCCGTAGGCACCAGACTCGATGACGAGTCTGTTAGATTTGCCATTGGTTTCAGACTTCGCCTAAGTATATAAAATAAATATCTGTGTCGTTGCGGCGCGGAGGCGGACGAATTTGGTCATCATGGTTTGGTTTGCCGTTTAGGTGGAGGCCGTCATCTTCGTCATTCAGCTTTGAATGATTACATTTGCCGGCTTTTTTCTAAAGCTTCTATTCCTGTTTTGAAGGAACCATCTGGCATTTCAGTGCAAGATGGCAAGCGACCAGACGGTTGTACTCTTACTCCTTGGAGAGCTGGTAAATGTTTGGCTTGGGATGTTACGGTTCCTGGTACCTTGGCCGAGCGCTACGTTCACCTTACCAGCAAAGAATGTGGTTTGGCTGCAATCAGACCTTCGGACGAAAAGATTAAAAAATATGAACACGCCCTGCCTTCGTTAGACTTTTTGCCAATATGTATCGAGGTCCTTGGACCCATGGACCCCAATACTTCAAAATTTATTAAAACATTGTGTAAAATGATTGGTGTTCGGTCAGGTGACAACAGAGAGTTCTTTTTTGCAATAAACCACATCTCGTGTTTGTTACAGCGATTTCTGCGTGTTTGTGTGTCGGAAAATATTAATTTAAACGCCGACGTGTGAGACTAACGATACATTAAAGTGTTAACCTTTTTAATCAGATGTTTGACTGTTTGGTGTCATTCATCACGATTTGGTTTTAACATATATATATATATATATATATATATATATATATATATATATATATATATATATATATATATATATGTTTTTTCTCTCTCTTTTTCTCTCTCCCTCTCTCTGTCTTTATATATATATATATATATATATATATATATACATATCTCTTTCTCTCTCTCTCTCTCTCTATATATATATATACATATATATATATATATATATATATATATTTTACAATATTCTATAAATTCTACCGAATGTTTGGCGTTAATATGTTTGTAGTTCGTTTTTTCAATTTTTCTCACTAAAGTTTTTTGGTGAACGTTTAGTTTATTAAAATTCAAAATAAACTTATTTTCCGAATTCATGCTGCAAATAAGACCATATTTCAATTCCGAATGAATCATCATCAGTGCTTTCTGCTGTTAATATAGGAAAATACTGAAAATTTTGCATATTGACTCCCACTTAATCTTTTTCTACCATCGCTCATTTTAGCTCTTTTTATGAAATTACAAATATGGCCTTAACACGACAAGACAAGATGGCGAATTTAAAGAGGGTCTATCTAATTCAATGATCGAACCACATCCACATAATTAAAATTACATATATGGATAGAAAATATTATCGCTCACATATACTACGTACCTTTACTTTACTTTAGATTAATAATTAACGTTTAGTAATCAAATAAATAATAATACAAGCTCACCAAACTCATTAACAAAACTTTTGTAAAATAATAGGCATTAATCAAGTAATTTTTATTTGATCGCTAGAAATTATTTAGTTTTACGCTTTTCATTGTTGCCGTTATGTTTGAGTTTGTTGTGTCATTATTAGTGAACAGTTAACATAATTAACTGCGTTAAAATTTTTGTAGCTGTGTACACAATTATTGTAAAAAACGCGACCATGAAAAAAAAACGGTATTCGTACATATTGTTACAATTTAGCGCAACTTATAGTCATTCGTCTTCTGATTAATTAATTATTGTTCCAGTGATAAAAGTACGATTTTTTTGCATGACATTATCGGCTATATGTTCTGATACATGTATTTTAAATAAATGATCAGAACGAGCGGCAACTGTTAATCGATTTTTTAAAGTTTTAAATTATATAAACTTGAACACCATAATTTTTGAGTAAAGTATCAATTTCAATAATTATTTTTATTCAACTTGAACATTTTTAAATAACTAGTTTTAAAAATTTGCCGCCCCACAGAATTTGCCGCCCCAGGCCGGTACCTGTTGTGCCTGTGCGTTAATCCGCCACTATCCCGAGGGAATAAATATTGGGGGGGCTCGAGCCCCTCCAAGCCCCATGGAGTCGGCGCCTATGTGTGCAAAGCAGATAGGACACAGCGGGTCAACGGTCTTCCCCCATCTGAAAAGATTTGCGTTGGTCGGCAGTTGCTGAATCAAATATTTTTTCGCGAATTTGTACAGGTTGTCTGGTATTGAATCTAATTTTTTTGACCAGTGTTTTATTCGCAAAGGTAGTATTACCTCAGTTACAGACTTGATTAAGGAGCCCTGACTTTGAAGCAAGACGACTTGGTTTAAGCCGTCCGCTATTCGATCCTCTTCCAACTTTTTTAGTGTCTGAGAAGTTGAGTTTGAGATCGAAAGCAAATTGTCGATCATCCTGTAGTCCACCGATGTTTCACGCCATAGACTGTAAATCTCAGCATTTGAACTTGTCTTGAAGTAATTGCGCAGCTTTAATCTCATTTTCAACGCCGTGTTCCTTAGGGGAACAATGTTGTGGCCACCACTCTTTAATGGTAGACTCAGCCACTCTGACACACAGCCGCTAATGGGTATTGACAACCAATTTTTTGCTGCTTCCACAAAAAGGTTATCCAAATTGTTGGCGATCCACGTCAGAGAAAATTTGTAGCTTTGCAGTTCAAACTTCAATTGTGAGAAAATGAATCTTTTTGAAATTTGTTGTTTCATTTGCGTAAAAGACGTGTTAACTTGGAAATGACCTCCTCTTTGGCTTTTGTTCGACCATCAGACACCAACCCATCGCAAAAAAAAATTGCCGCCGTCGACCACATTGAACTGGTGAAAATGCCGATTTGCACGCCTTTCAAAAATTATTGTTGAATTGAGTTGTAGTTTTTGTTGATTGATTTAGTTTTTTGTAATTTAATTCTTTTTGTAATTTAGTTTTTTTTTTCAACTTCTTAATCGAGTATTCTATACTCAAATTTTGTGTGGTTTGCGTTTTTGTGTACCCATAGTTTTTTGCGAAATATGAATAGATTATTTGTTGAAAGCGAATGGCGAAGTTGTCGACGTTCATGTTGTTGAGGCATTCAACTTCTATCTAGAAGTATGCATTTGCCTCAGTCCATTCCGTAGAAGAAGTTGGTAGTTTGACACCCTGAAGTGGCTTAGAGTTAGCCGTTTGGGTCGGGACGTGCTCAAAACTGAACAGTTCCGGATCTGGAGGTGCTGTTGGTTTTCAAGCGTCCGAAATTTTAGTTTTGAGAGACCTACACATTTTGCATGATCTTTGATGCAATAATAATCCTTTTTTGCTCTTGCAAGGTTTGCCGCAACAACAAATAAACATATTATTAAAATTATTTGTGAAGTTATTATCAATATTTTATTAATTTCAGCAAAATTTTAATGTTTGCAGAGCTGTTTACATTAGAAATTATTATGTAAGTTGCTTTAGTACACCTCCAAGAGTGTCTATTAGGAGTGTTTACAAGTTTTTAAAACAATAAGGGCAAACTGTTGCACTTACTAAATTAATTGTATTTAAGCTTGCAAATAAACCTATTAAATGATATAAAATAAAATATTTATTAAAATTTAGACGACAGCCATGATAATAATTTTGTGAAATTAATAAAACCAAAGTTAAATATTGAAACCTCGATAAAACAGTATTATTGCTTAAAAACAGTAAGGATAAAATTCGGTTCTCTTGTTCAACGACCAGCGCAATAATCGCAATAATAATAATCATAATAATGATAAATATGATAATATTAATAATAATAAAAAAGGCAATTATGATAATAATAAAAACAACAACAATAATAGTAATAATAATAAATTGAATTAATTTCGAGCCTCACAATTTTGACGCTGTTTTTGCCGCCTTGACAACTATCGTTTAAAAAATTTAAAAATTTTTCGTTGTTAAAAATTTTATTAGAATTTCATGATTCTTTTTTAAATTTATTTGTATATATTTTTAATAATATTAAAACTATAATAATACTAATAAATAAATTTATAAATAATGAACTGACGATGACGGTTTAACGTCGAAATAGATCTAGATGTATCTGCTATAATTTTGATAAAATGTTTGTTGATAAAAATAAAGCTTCAATTTTAAACAGGCTCAATTTTGTTGATATAAATTTACTAAGTCAAATTTAAAAATTTGAATACAATTTGAGAAACACTAATAAATCATTGGAATTTATTACTTATATATATATATATATATATTGATATATATATTTATTTATTGACAAAACTGCTCAGAGGGCCATAAAGAAGCACTTAACTAGACAGAAAAAATAAACGAATTTCATTAAAATGTACGTCGACACGGAGAAATAAGTTTGAAAAATCATAGTTAACATTTATATTGACCATCATCCTCGCGAAATAATACCATAAGAAAAACCAATTTAATAAAGTTTGATAAATTGATAGTTATGATAGTATTGATAGTTATTTAATAGTTAAAACTTTGTTAAAGTCAACAGAGAGCAGTTGATTATTGAAGACAGCATATGAGGTTGAAGAGACGACATCTTCTGGCAAGACATTCCATAATCGAATGATTCGGTTGCAGAAGAAATATTTAGTTGAGTTGTCACTAAGATTGAAATCATGCAATTTACTTTGATGTCCCCGAGTTGTTAAGTACAGAAATGGAATGAAATTACTATTTAGGTCTATTTGAACGAGGTTATGAAGTATTTGTAAAGAAGGCATAGATCAGAAATTAACCTCCGACGTTCCAAAGTATGCATTCCAACTGCATGCAGTCGAGACAGGTATAAGAGATGATGTAGAGACGGGATAAACTTTGTAAATCTTCTCTGTACACTTTCAATTTTGTTTATTTGGTATTTGTAATGTGTATCCCACACAGATGAAGCATATTCAACCAAAGGACGTACGTATGTGCAAAAGGTTTTGATAAGTAGGTCTTTATATTTTGAGGTAAAACATCTGGTGATTAACCGTGCACGAGAGGAAGTTCTATGAGCAATATCGTTAATATGACGATTAAAATTAAGTTGGTTGTCGACAATTACACCAAGGTCTTTACAGTGGTTTATGCGTGATAAATCGTGATGACCAATTGAATATTGATGAGGAACTGTATTAGATCTAGTTAAAGAAATGTGCAATGGGAACATTTGTCGGGTGGCTGCCATTTTGCACTTCAAGTAACTATATCATTGATCACTTGTTGATGATTGATTGAGTTAGATGCACGGCAGAACAACTTGATGTCATCCGCGAAAAGCAAAATCCTAACAGAATAGGATGAGGTACAGTCAGCTATATCGTTTATGAAAATCAGGAATAGGGTGGGTCCCAGGACGCTACCCTGCGGCACACCACTAGTAACCGGTACAGGTGCTGACAATTTTTTTTAATCCGAACGAGCTGAGAACGTTCAGATAAAAAAATGTTCAGCCAGGAAAAAAGATTACCAGTAATTCCATAAGCATTTAATATATCAACTAGTTTGGTGTGCGACACAGAATCAAACGCTTTCCTGAAATTGAGGTAAATAACATGATAACCTTCCTTTTGTTGGCGAATGGACATCCAATCACTGAGAAATTGTAGCAGGTTAGTGCATGTGGATCGAGCAAGCAAAAAGCCATGCTGGAAGTTGAAAATTAACTTGTTGTCCGACAAATAGGATAGCATTTGTTTGTTGATGATTTTTTCCATTACCCGGCAACACGAGCTGGTAAGCGAAATTGGTCTGTAGTTACCTGAATAGTTGGATGAACCCTTCTTATGTATTGGAGTGACTATTGCCGTTTTCCATCTGGTAGGTAGTAAATTATTTTTAAATGTGAAACAGTGGAATTTGCAAACTTGAAGCACACATCTTTAGCAAGATATTGGATATACTATCTGGTCCCATCGAGGAGGTACCCTTTAAACCACGCAAAGTTGTATACTCCATCTGAGGGGTGAAACTAACATCTTCCAACAATTTTGTAGTGCGAGATAGCAGGGAACAGTTAATGTTATTGTCGATTGTAAAATATTCGTTGAATGCACCGGCCATTACCAACGGATCGTAAGTTATGATGTTGTCGCTTAATCTTAAACTGCTTACATGTGATCGAGAAAGCAGTTTATTGTTGACGTATCAATAAAAACTTCTAATATTTGATTTGGATAGTAGATTTTGTTCACTGGTTTTTGTAGGACTTGGCTAAGTTTGAACATTTTCTCGACATTGTCATATACAACTCTTCATCATACAAGCAGGAGGAGACTTTCCATTTTCTTCAAAAATGAAGTTTTACTTTGTAGAAAAGACGTAGAGATATAAGAACTGCCTGTTTACGAAACCTTTTTTTGTAAACTTGGGGAACATAAGTTGATATAACCATATTGATTATCTCCTCAAAGATTTCCCAACAGGTATTAACGTCGAAGCAGTACTGGAAAAGGTGATCCCAGATTGTATTCATAAAGTAATCGTTCATTCCCAAAAAATCTGCTTTGTTGAAGTCGTTAAAAAATATGTCATTGTTTTGACTGGTGTTCATCACGTTCCGGGCAGTATAACTGACTTCAAATGTGAAGCAGTTATGATCGCTTCAGGCAAACGGACCGGATACATTCAATTCTGTAAATAAGCCGGGATCATCGGATAGAACCAAGTTCAAAATGTTATCTCTTCAAGTCGGCTGTCAACAAGCTGATGTAAAGTTTGTTGAAAAGTTCAATATATGTATTGTAAATAGAATTATTAAGTGCGGAGTAATTATCCCAGTTAATGCGTAAAAGGTTGAAATCTACCATCAAGCAAACAACGGCACCTCTGCAGAGTTTTTTCATACATCGTACACTATCGAAAGCATATTGTTTCGCCGAAACGTCAAAACCACCACTACGGTAGTAGGAGATAAAGCGACAATTTATGGTTGAAGTAGGAACATCAATAGAGACAATCTCATTATGGAAACACATAGATGGTACTGAAACGACTATGTAGAAAACAGTATCTTTAATGATGAAAGCCACGCTGCCACCCCGTGTTCCACGATCTTTTCGAACAAAACCAAAACCAAGAGGCAAAAACAGATTGTCAAGATCATTTGGAGTGAGCCACGTTTTAATAACTGAAAATATTTCAGGATCAAAAGTTGACAAAAATAAACTAAGGTCATTTGTTTTCTTCTGGAGGCTACAAACGTTAGCCAGGGCCAAACGAAGGTGCCTATTTCAACTTAACTGAACGAAAGGGCTGATCATTCGCAGGTTGGTTATTATTTGTTTTATTGAGACGTCTTTTTTGTTTTTTGAGAAACGCTTGCTCTGTCTGCCTCTTGGAAAGATCGGGATTAATGCAGATATTTTTTGTCGCTGGTGATGACCGTAGAATCAAGCATTGGAGTTTTATTGAGCTTTATTACTTGTTGTTGGCATGCGGAAACGCTACTGCCCAGTGTGGACAAAGTAGCATGAAGCTGGCTCATAGAGTCTGTTACAACTTTAGACATGCTGTTAACGCAAGCTCGAAACTATTGCTTAATGACTCAATTTTTAAAAAAGTTGTTTCAAAGAGCTTGCTCATTAAATTTTCAGAATGAGCAAGTGATTTACGTAAATTGTCGTTAGATTGTTCAATAGTTTTTGTTAAGTTACAGTATGACTTATCCAGCAGCTTGTCCAGGTTGTTGTTGGAGAGCACAATAATTTTTTCTATATTTTCACGGGATTTTTCAAAAATCTTTTAAAGACATTTAAGAAAACTATCATTTGTTTTTTCCATAATTTTCGTCATCATCGTCTCGAGATTGTCAGCAAAAAAATCTTTCTGCCATGACTTTAAATTTAGTTCAAATTGTGCTAAAAAACTGAAATTACATTTAATTATAAAAAAATGAGGAAATTAAATTAATATAATATTCGGAATACGGTAAATTAAATAATCAACACAACGTACAAGAAGCTAGCCAAGATTCTTTTTGTTTTGGTTTGGGAAATGCATGTAAGTCACATCCAGCATCTGATAAGAAGAGAAGTATTGTTGGTGTGGCAGAAGAGTCACTGGAGTTTGTTGCCGCCTCATTTGCATCAACTGTTGCTGCTGATTAAAATCAACATAGTTAAAGCTATGAGATGATGAAATAACCTGATGGTCGCCTGCAGCAACAAACTGAGAAAAGCCAGAGATAGAGTTGAACCAGGTATGTAGACGGGGTTTGAAAACTGTTGAACTCGGTTGGGCTGACGTGAACAATCCTGAACTATTTGTCTGATTTGAAGCAGGAGTAGCTGTGTTGTCCATGAGGAGTCCAAGAGAGACGAGTCGAACGAGAGGTTCCAAACCCCTGCCACCACTAATCAGCAACTGTCCCGACTGATGCAGGAGTCATGCAGGAGTCAACAGTTGATAACCATGCTGACCATTTCCTGAAGGCAAAGAAATAACACTGGCAGTATAAGACATCTGTTGGGGTGTGATGTGTCTCGTAGATTAGGTCTTGGCAGACATACGTGATACTTGCCTGCTGGCTGGTTGTTTTGAGGCTGAGGAAGAGGAGGGCTGTTTTGAAAGGGGTAGACCGGCCAATGACCAGGCACATTGTAGTAAGAGGGAGAAACCATCGGCCCAGCAATAGGCATGCCAACAAATTGATCTTGAAAATTAACCATGCAGGGAGGGAGATGCATGTGAGTCGCATCCAGCATCTGATCAGAAGAGAAGTACTGTCGGTGTAACAGAAGGGCCACTGGAGTTTGTTGCTGCCTCATCTACATCAACTGTTGCTGCTGAGTAAAGTCAACATAGTTAGAGCCAAGAGATGATGGAATAATTTGATAGTCGCTTGCAGCAACAAACTGAGGAAAGCCAGTAGTTGAGGAAGGATCATTCTCCTCTCCACTCTGAACAGCCGCAACTTGGTTAACAAACTCACCACTTTCATCTAATTCATTCTGCTGCTGCTGCTGTTGTTAATGAAGTTGTCGAAGAAGTTTCTGCTGTTGCTGTTGATTAGATAGCAATAAATTCTGTGGGTGGATGTTTGAAAGATATGGCAACGACATTTGAGGTTGCTACTAAAATTGCTGTTGTTGTTGCGACATTGGGAATCTGAGATTATGAGATGGATTGATGAATGGATGATTGAATAGATGATCCGACATTCCCGGCTGCTTTGACTGGCCGCCTGAATTAATCAGGGGGATAATCGTTGAAGTGAGATCATTGCTTGTTGGCGAGTGCATCTGGTTGAATAACTGAGGCCCTGATTGGAGTCTGTATAATTTATTCTTCAATCCATTGCTAATGTTGCCATTGATTCCACAGTTTGTAGTTGAATCTGGATTTGTATCTTCAAACCCAGCAGCAACACTGTTCAACAGCAACTTAGATCGATCTCCGTCGTTTACACTAGAGTATCTGTTAGACAGACCACGTTCAACAAGTTCCCTGTGAGGTGATGTACCTAACATATATTCAGCCATATTAACTCCAAAGGTGTCACCAGTATTTCCACTCTAGTTGTCTTCCTTATTGCTGAGCTACAGGCTGTTATTATTCATGTTACCAAACATGATGTTGCTGCCAGATGTTGACATATCACTAGCGCCTGATGGCTTCTTCCACACTCTATCCTGGCTATTATCGTTTTTAATATAAGCCTATAAAATTCCTTTTTTAATTCAAATACTGTTAGCACCTTACTGTATGGAAGAGAACTCTGATTATAATTGGCACCTGGGCACCATCTACTTTTCACAGAATCTAAATTAGTTTCTTGGTTATTCTGATGTAAATTTAAGGATACATGTATTATGGATGAATCACCAATCATCATTGGTATTTTTTGGGAAAATCGCTCGTGGTTGTCAGTTTTCCCAACCTGCTTTTTTCATTGTGGATTCTTTCATAAATATAAATTAACTAGCGCTGCTGTGATTTTTATCAACAATTGCATATCTGACAGTCTGAATCCAATATATATATATATATATATATATATATATATATATATATACATACATACATATATATATATATATATATATATATATATTTGACATTTGACATTTTTATTTCATCAAATCAAAACAAAGAAATCAAAGAAATGAAATGATATCAATGAAAAGAAATGATCTGGAAATCGAAAAGAAAATATGGTTTTCTTGTAATGATTACCAGTGACAATTGTAAAAATGAGAACATATTTTAAATATTTTAGTGCATGTAAACTCACATTCATATTACAAATACTAAAAAAACCAAAAATGGAATCATAATTATTAAGTAAACAACTCTTTAACATTTTTATCAGAATGTCGTTTGTAATTATTGAAACACAAATATATATATAGACCCACGTAAAACATACTTATTCACACACACACATATACATACACACACACACACACACGTACATGAGCCCACACAAAAAGTTAAGGGGGTTTAAATGTTAAAAAGTAGGATTTGATGTCTTTTTTAAATTTTACAACGGATTTTGCTTCTTTCAAATATTCATGAAATTTGTTCCACGTCTTAGGTCCGACGACTCTTATGCTACTATTGATAAGTTTCAATCTGTTTTTTCAATATAAAATGTTGAGGTATGTCTTGTGTGTTTTAACTGGATTGCGTTACTATAAATAAACAAATTATTAAAATTTTTTGGAATTAAGTTGTTAATAAGTTTAAATGTAAATATTGAGATGCATGTGTAATAAATTTGTTTTATTGAAAGTAGTTTTGCAATCTGAAAATAATTAGAGGTGTGGTCATTAAATTTTAAATCGAATAAAATTCTTATAAAACGTTTTTGACATTTTAACAGGGGATCTAGCTGATAAACAGGGCTATTTCCCCACATGATCCGCAATAATGAATATAAGGGTATATAAAGCTATAATACAAATCTTTTAATATTGTGAAATTAATCTTATTTTTGATTTTATAAAGTATACCTATGAATTTATTGATTTTGGATTTAAGATTTTCAATGTGATAACTGTAAGACAAATTATCTTGCAGAATTAAACCCAAAAAAACAACTTGATTGGTTCTGTTTAATTTCACATTGCTGAACACAAGGTCTAGGTCCGAGAAACTATTGGTTAAAATCTTTGGTCCAAATATAACATAGGCCGATTTGGATGAATTAACCATGAGTTTGTTCATAGAGAACCAATCCTCGAATAATTTGAGTTCATTATTTATGACATCTAAATCTCGTTTAATGTCATCAGAAGAATAAAAAATGTTTGAATCGTCAGCGTAAAGAATACAATTCATTTTTTTGATATGTAGGCAATGTCATTTATATAAATCAAAAAAAGCAAAGGGCCTAATACAGACCCTTGCGGGACTCCACACGAAACTTCACGCGTTCCAGATTTAACATCATTCACAAAAACATATTGCTTTCTACCAGAGATATAACTCTTAAACCATTGATTTGTAATACCACGAATCCCATAATGGTTGAGTTTATGTAACAAAATATCGTTATCAATCAGATCAAATGCCTTTGTAAGATCGAGGAATATTCCAAGAGTAAGCCTACGTGAACTCATGTTGGTCAATATATTTTGAACCAATTCTAGAATGGCTAGTTCACATGAATGGTGGGCTCTGAATCCGTACTGGTTTTCAGAGAGAACATTGTTTTTCATAAGAAAAGAAAATAAGCGTTTGTAAACCAGTTTTTCTAATACTTTGGATAAAGGTGATAATAAAGAAATTGGTCTGTAATTATTTAAGTTATAGGGGTCATTTTTTTTCATGATAGGAACAATTTTTGAGAGTTTAAAGCTTGATGGAAAAATACCTTGTTTGAGAGAGTTTGAGAGAGAAAATATGAGTAAGTGGAGATAAAATTTCGTTTTTGAAAGTTTTAACTATGAATGAGTTAAGTTCATCATCAGAAGTTGACATTTTGGGCTTAAGCGAATTTATTATTTGAATAACTTCTGACCGATTGGTAGGTTCAAGAAAAAAAGATGATAAAACGGGATCTGTAAAAATTTTTAGTTTATTCAAGGAGTCAACAGAGAATGTGTTTCGACAAGAACTAACCAAATTAATAAAATTATCATTGAAGGCATTAGATATTTCAAGTTTGTCAGTAATAAATTCGTCAGCAATTTTAATTTTCTCAATTAGATTTTTCGACTTATTTGTTTTTAAAATGTCTTTAATTATTTTCCATTTATATTTAGAATTATTTTTGGCCAAATAAAAGTGATTTTCATAAAAATATTTTTGAGCTGATCTTTTAGTTGATGTTAAAAAATTTCGAAACTTTTTATATTTTATTAAATTATTGTCGCTTGGATTTGTTTTACACTTTTTAAATAATTTATAAACGTGTTTAAATAAATTTAATATATCTTTAGTAATCCAACTTTTTTTAATTTTTTTATTTTTAATTGCTGTTGGAGGAACATGATGATTTAGTATATTTAAAAATGTAGAATTGAAGTTATTATAGCATATGTTAATATCAGATTCGTTAAAAACAGAGTCCCAGTTTTCTACCATTAATGATTCTTTAATAGCTTTTATTGTATAAGATGAAAATTTCCTTGCTACGAAGATGTCATCTTTCTTAGGAAGTGATGTTTGTTTTAAATTAAATGAAAATATGGGATAGTGATCTGGTAGATCCACCATTAAAATGCCATTTAGGTGATCTGAGTAAATATTGGTAAATATATTATCTATTAATGTGGAAGTTGTTTTGGACACGCGAGTCGGTTGATCAATTAGCGAGTGATAATTGTGAGAATAAAGAATGTTTTCAAAACTGTTTTTAGTATGATTCGAGGAGTTCAAGTTTATATTAAAATCGCCAATAATATATGAAAAATTTGATACATTGTTTTTGCAAAGTTTGATAGAAAGTCAAAGAATAAATTTAAGTTGGATTTAGGGGGTCTGTAAATTAAAGTAATATTGACAACATCGATGTTCAGTCGAACATCTATGTTTAGCAATTCGCAAATATTTTCATCAAAAAATTCATATTTTTTTGAATACTCAATGTTTTTTTTTAACAAAAAATCCAACTCCCCCACCCAATTTATTTTTACGTGGGAAATCTATGAAATCATAATTATCTAAATCAATTAATTTAGACAAATCAGCAGTTAGCCAAGTTTCTGTGATATCAAAAACAGAAAACAAATAATTCAAATTAGACAAAAGTAACTGAAAATCGCTTATTTTGTTGAATATGCTTCTTGTGTTTACATGCAAAATAGAAAAACAGTTTTTGATAGTTCTATTGTCTTCGTTAAATAAAGAGGAAAAAATCAGGAACAGAAAATACTCACTTTTATACTCAAATATATATATTTATACTCACTTAAATACTCAATATACCAGAACAGCAACTACACGCATCTTAAAATTGCAGAAACATTCCTAATCGACATCAATAAACCAAAAATAAATATACAACAAAAAATGACAACCTCACTTCCAACCCGGCGCTTAACCAACAACGAAAACAGAGAAGTAATAAAAACTAGCATCATAAATAGTGACAAAGAAGAATATGATGCTATCGATGAAGAAAAGGAGACCAAAGAAGATGACCAGCCAATTAAGAAACCTGACACCTAATTCGCATCAAAGTTCAATTTTACAACACCAAAGTTAATTTTTACAACGTCAAAGTTCATCTTGACAAAGTCAATATTTCCCTATATCCAGCAAGGAGCACTGACGATGATTCATTCGGAATCGAAATATGGCCTTATTTGCAGCATGAATTCGAAAAATAAGTTTATTTTGAATTTTAATAAACTAAACGTTCACCAAAAAAAACTTTAGTGAGAAAAATCGAAAAAACGAACTACAAACATATTAACGCCAAACATTCGGTAGAATTTATAGAATATTGTGAAAATTATGGTCTGTTACCAACATATATATATATAAATATATATATATATATGGTTTCCATTTTTTTCCACACAGTACCCCACCCAGTTCCCTAAATTTTATCCATCCCACACGAACTCTAGCCGTAACTGCGCTCAAACATCCTCCACCCGCGTTCAGTTTAACCACTAAATAAACAAAGCTTTCCATTCTTTCAATACCACAACTCAACCCCGTCTTTGTGTCCGTCCTATTAATTACACCATGAACACATTTCTTATATTTGAACGTGCCTTCCACCTTTTTCAGTGCCCCCCTCACACCACTACATCTCTTATGCACCCACTTCTGACATCCTATGCACAATACCGAGTTAACCTTCACTCTCCTGTCACATACCCCAAAGGGGTCGATTTTACTTACCACTCGTTCCCCACCTTCCCCACTCCCCATTACCTTCGTCTTACCGATATTAACTCTTAACCCTTTCTTTTCAATAACACTTTTCCATCTGTCAAATTTTAACTGCAGTTCTTCCATACTATCAGCCATCAAGACTAAATCATCTGCATATAAAATCTCAAATAACAACCCCTCCATTATGTTTCCACACACAACATCCATCACAATTGCAAACTAAGACTGTGATAACACTGATCTTTGATGAATGTATACCTGAGAATTGGCGACACAGTGTGTTGGTGTATCAAACATAATGTTAGCAATTCTCATCATAACTTCAATTCCTATTACCCCACTCGCTTTTATATGTTCCGCTGCCACTTTCAAAACCCCTGTCGCCTTACCTAGTTTCATATCTCTAACTGTTTTCTCTACTTCCTCCATCGTCACCTTCTTTATGGGTCCGTTTGTGACCGCGTACTCCACATCTTCATCCCACTCATTCTCTTCGTTCATCAACCTTTCCATGTGAGCTTTCCACACCTGAGCTTTTTCCTCCTCATCTATGCACAATTTGCCAGATTCATCCCAAACATATCCATTCCCTATAACATCTTTCTTATTCCTCATTGACTGCTTTGCTACTTTGAACATTTTTCTCGAACTCACATAAAATTCCATTTCCCTCATTAACCTATCTGAGGCTTTTGTCATTGCAGTTGCCACTGCCCGTTTTGCAACCTTTTTAGCCTTTCTATACTCAGACTTCGCCTCCCCCGTCATGTCCCTTTTCCACACCCTAAATCTCTCTTTCTTGACCTCCAAAACCCTTCTTATATCTTCATCCCACCTTAAACCTAAAAAGTGTTGTGGAAAAAAGGTTAGGTTTACTCCAATAAATATTAAGTAGAATTGGGCTTTTTAGAGATTTTCGTACTCAAGCATAATCCAGTAAATAGTGGAAATCAGTGGTTAAATGCTGAAAAGATAGCAAATACTGCTCCTATTCTTAAAACGTAGTGGAAGTGGGCTACGACATAGTAAGTGTCATGAAGTATAATATCTAGGGATGAATTTGAAAGGACGATTCCTGTTAATCCACCAAGATTAAATAAAAAGATAAATCCTAGAGCTCATAACATAGATGGTGTATATTTAATTCTTGAGCCGTAAATGGTAGCTAGTCACCTAAATACTTTAATTCCTGTTGGAATAGCAATTACTATAGTTGCTGCTGTAAAGTAAGCTCGTGTATCAACGTCTATTCCCACAGTAAATATGTGATGGGCTCATACAATAAATCCTAAAATAGCAATACCTAGTATGGCATAAATTATACCAAGTGACCCAAATGGTTCAATTTTTCTGGAATTATGGGCTACTACATGAGAAATAGCTCCAAATCCTGGTAAAATTAGAATGTAGACTTCTGGGTGCCCAAAGAATCACCTCCACCAACATGATCAAAAAATGCTGTATTTAAGTTACGATCTGTTAGTAGTATTGTAATTCCTGCAACTAGAACTGGTAGAGATAGGAGCAGTAATACAACGGTGATGAATACTGCTCAGACAAATAGTGGTAAACGTTCAATTTGTATTCCTTGTCATCGCATATTAATAACTGTTGTTATAAAGTTTAATGACCCTAAAATTGATGATGCACCTGCTAGGTGAAGGGAGAAAATAGCAAGATCTACTGATGGCCCTGAATGAGCTAAGTTTGCTGCTAGTGGTGGATATGCTGTTCATCCTGTTCCAGCACCTTTTTCAACTAGTGCTGATGTAACTAGTAAAATTAATGATGGTGGTAAAAGTCAGAAGCTAAGGTTATTTAGTCGTGGGAATGCTTTATCTGGTGCTCCAATTATTAATGGGATAAGTCAGTTTCCAAACCCACCAATTAAAATAGGTATCACTATAAGGAAAATTATAATTAGACCATGTGCTGTAATTACACAATTATAAAGTTGATCATTACTTAAAAATGATCCTGGTTGGGCTAGTTCAATTCGAATAATAATTCTTATGGCTGTGCCGACTATAGCAGCTCAAGCCCCAAACATAAAGTATAAAGTTCCAATGTCTTTGTGATTTGTTGAGTAGAGTCATCGCATAAATAATGTAGAGTATTGGTGTGAATATTAGCCTAGTTACTATTGTGGTAAAGATAATTTTGTCTATAGTTAAACAGTATACTATATCTTTTTTTGTTATCAAGATGTTGATACTAAGATTTAAGCTTACTGTGTAGATTACTATTAGTTTTGGGACAAAGCCAGATAGTGGTGGTAGACCAGCTAAAGATAGGATTAACAATAATAAACTAAATTTTATATTTGTTGGTATGGTAAGAATATTTCTTGATATGTTGGGGTTATTGTACGTGTACACTTGGAATATTGTAAAGATTGGAACTACTATTATAGTATATATAATAAAATAGTATCATGATTGATATGATAGTCCACAGATATGAGGGACTAGAAATCACCCTATATATCTAATAGATGAATAGGCAAGGATTGTTTTTGCATCAGTTTGATTTAATCCTACTACACCACCAATTATAATTCTAAATAATAAGAATACAATTAATTCAATTTGATCTCTTTTCACATTATTAATTATAATTATTGCTGGGGCAACTTTTTGTCATGTTGATAGAATTATGGCTCAAGCTCAGTCACAACATTGAAGAACTGATGGGAATCAGTAATATGATGAGAATATCCCTATTTTAGTTATTAATGCGAATGATAGAATTATGCAATATATATTTATTGATACATAATTACTATATATTAAAAACCCAGAGAATAATATAATAGATGAGGCAAATGCTTGAATTAAAAGATACTTACATATTGCTTCTATATTTTTTTGTTTGGTAGATTTTGTTAAAAATGGAATAAATCTTAGTATATTAATTTCTAGCCCGATTCATTTACAAAATCAATTTGTTCTTGATGCTGCTATGATTGAGCTAATAATCATAATTACAGCCGATAAGCGTATAGTTGGAGTTAGTGAGCGGATGAAAGAAATAATCATAAGGGGTTGATGGAATTTAACCACCTTAAAAAAGTTAGAAGCTTTTTATTATGCTTAAACCCCTAAGATAGTCAATTAATAGAGCCTTCATTTCATTCATGGATTAGCTCGAGTAGAAGAATTAGTAAAAATAACAGAAAAATTATAATATGCTGGAATGAAAGTGATGTTGCTATTAGAATTGGAAATGGTATTAATAACACTACTTCAATATCGAATACAATAAAGATAATAGCTAGTAAAAAAAAGCGTGTTGAAAAAGGTAAACGGGTTTGATTATTTGGATTAAATCCACATTCAAATGGGGATATTTTATTACGGTCTAAATTTATTCGATGAAAGAGTAGTAGTGATAGGGAAAATACAAGAGTTGGGAGTATAATAGATACAATAAAAATAATTGTTATAATAAGCATTAATCAGAAGTAAAAACTTTCTTTCGATTAAAAGTCGAATGCTTAGACAAGCTCTCTGAATAAGTACTAGAAATTATTCATATTTAACGACATCAATGTTATATCCGTTAGTCCGGCTTAGTACTATGAAATTAAAATATTTAGGATGATAGTTAAAGGTAATACTAGAATTAAGACTCTAATTGAAAATGGCAAAAATCTTTTTCATGTAAGTATTATTAGTGAATCATACCGTATTCGAGGAAATGAGGCTCGTACTCATACAAAAATTATAGCTACTAATATAGTTATTAGGATTTGATACAAGGATAAGATTTTAATTATAGATGTTAAAAAAATAGAGGTTGTCAGTAGTCTCATAAAAAGGATATTTGAATATTCTGCTATAAAGATTAATGCAAATATACTTGAACCATGTTCAATGTTAAACCCTGATACTAGTTCTGACTCACCCTCAGCAAAATCAAATGGTGTGCTATTAGTTTCTGCTAAGTTGTTAATAAACCATAAAATTGATACAGGTAGTATAATTATCACGATTGTTGAATATAAGTAATTTGATATTATAGAAATATACTATTAATGCGGCTAATAGGATAAGTGTTATTCTAATTTCATATGAAATTGTTTGAGCTACACTACGTAATGTTTAGAGTTTGATCTCCATCCAGCAATAAATGTAGTGTACACATTTATTGCTGAAATACATAGGAAATATAAAATTCCAAATTGAATTCAAGATGCAGTGTTTTGATGTGGAAAGATCCTTCATATTATTAGTGATAAGAATAGTCCTATAATTGGAGCAATAATAAATGAGGTTTTATTGGCATTGGTTGGGGTTAGCTGTTCTTTTAAGAATAATTCGATAGCGTCAGCAAATGGTTGCGGAAGTCCCATGATAATTACTTTATTAGGGCCTTTTCGAAGTTGATTGTATCCTAGTAATTTTCGTTCTAGTAGTGTGTAAAATGCTATGGCTATTAGGGCCATAAGTATTCTAATAATAAAAGATATTGAAGCTGATAGGTTCACTAATATGAGATTTTATTCATATTTAGGGTTTAAACCTAATGCACTATTCTGCCACCATATTAAGTTATTAAATGATTCGAACATTTATTATAGATTTTCAAAATCTATTGTTTCCTAATCAAATAACTGCCACTGATTATCATCACTTGTCGATTGCAAATCAACTGTTCTATTTAAACTAAGCTACATAATAAGTGAATTGTAATTCATCTAATGATCCTAAATCATTTACATTTATCTGCCAACTTATTATAGTCTATAAGTAATTTTATTTATTCCTATTATAGGTTTATTTGGGTCCTTTCGTACTACAAATAAATTTATTTTATTGAAGATAGAATCTAACCTGGCTCACGCCGGTCTGAACTCAGCTCATGTAAGGATTCATAGGTTGAAACCTCCATCTATGACTTCTGCGTCATGGTGGTTCCTTAAGCCAACATCGAGGTGCCAAACAATTTTGTTGATAAGAACTCTAAAAAATTATTAGCCTGTTATCCCTAAGGTAACTTAATCTAGTGATCAAATATTGGATCTAAAAAGAATGAATTAATCTTATAAATTTTAGGATGTTTAATGTTCCTAGGTCGCCCCAACCGAATTTTAGTATAATAAGTTTATAGTTAAAATAAAGCTCTATAGGGTCTTCTTGTCTTTCAATTTTATTTAAGTCTCTTCACTTAAAGGATAGATTTTATTAGTATGTAGGAGACAGTATTTATTTCGTTTACCCCTTCATTCTAGTTTACAATTAATAAACAAGTTATCATGCTACCTTTGCACGGTTAGGATACCGCGGCCATTAAATTTTCATTGGGCAGGGCATACTTTCAATGAGTTCTAAAAGAAATGTTTTTGTTAAACAGTCGAAATATTATTTGCCGAGTTCCTTCTATATATTTTATATAATACTAGTGTTTACAAAATTATTATAATATTTAGTTTTATTACATACCTATCTATTTATATCATTTTATTGTTAGTTATTAAAAATAGCATTTTACGATAAAGTAGTGTAAGGTGGCTGTTATTAGGCCCACTAGTGATTATATTTATTGTGTTAATTGATTTTAATAATAAAACTTGTCTTTTATTATTTTACATTCTATTTCAGATGCCCTAATTTATAGTTTTTAGTAGAAACCAGCTATATTCTTATGCGGTTGGTATGTAGCCTCTGAAGATAGTTTTTTAAAAAGTAATGAAACACTTATTTATTAGTTCATAACAAGCTATCTTCAGCTCATAAAGAATTCGGGATCTTATTTTATAGTAGGGCTTGTAAACCCATTATGCACAAGGTACGTTATTTACTACTTTTCAAATTTATTAATTCCTTTACAGTACTTAATTTATTTAGCTATTGTTCTTTATTTTATTTCTTTATGTTAAATTGATGAGATGTTGTTTATTAGTCAAGTTAAAATAATTTTTATTTTTCTTCTAAGTGTAAGTTAGTGGCATTGTATATGCTATAACTTGAACAGATGCAACTTCCGTTACATCAACTATGTTACGACTTATCCTTTAAGGAGTGACGGGCGATTTGTACTTGTCTTAATTATTGATTCATTATAAGATCTTTATAATTACTATTAAGTCCACCTTTATAAATTAACTTATTAACTTATTTCGTAATCTCTATATAGATTCTAACCCATCTCAACCTAATTATAAGCTGCACTTTGACCTGACGTGTGATTTGATTAAAATTTTTGGTATACTCTCATAAAGGTATACTTTAGACGGCAGTACACTGACTGAGTTTCAAAATTAGGTAGCGCTTTCGTGGATTATCGAGTTAAAGGACAGGTTCCCCTAATTGAGTAAGACACCGCCAAATTCTTTGGTGTTTAAACTGTTGTTCGTATTTTCCGACTTTTATGGTAAGCTATTAATAGAAGGGTATCTAATCCTTGTTTTAATAAATAGTTTGAGTTAAGATATGTTTGGTTCTATTTATGTTTTAATTAAACCTATTGGTTAATTTTATTATATCTTATAGAGTCTTTATTATTAAAGGTCTTTCGTCTAACCTGGTCTTCGTCTGGCACGAATTTGGCCGACTTTAATTATGTCTACCAATTCACATTTTCATATATTGATTAGTTCTACCCACTGTATTATTAGATTATACAAATTTGTTATACTAAACTTTATACTTAAAGTTTTGTTATACATGAAAAAAAAAATTTAATAATTTAGTTAGAATCAAACTAATAATAAGGGAATTTCTTCATTTTTGGGGTATGAACCCACTAGCTTTTTTAGCTTACCTTATTAAAAGATAATATATTAATATACTCTTAAATCTGCAATTTAATGTTGCTTTTCAACTATATCTTTACAAGATTAATTCAGGCTTAGAAATCAAAAGTAATACTGGGAATAAGTGTAAAGTTAAAAGAAGATAGTCTTTAATGTTTACTTTTGGATAAATTAATAGGTATTTATTTGTATTAGCATGATTAATTATGGTATATATGTATAATGAGTACCCAGCAGTTAGAAATCTGATTAGACCTAGTATAATTATAGACAAATCTGAATATGAAATAATTTATGTTAGAAGTAAAATTTCTCTTATTAAGTTAATTGATGGTGGTGCAGCTATATTGATAATAGTAAAGATAAATCACCATAATGACAAGATAGGGGCAAAAATGATTGCTCCTTTTGAAATATAGATACTTCGTCTTTTTACTAAATCATAGTTTATATTGGTTATAATAAATAGTGCAGATGAGCTAAATCCATGAGCAATTATTATGGCTAATGCTCCTCATTTAGATGATGATATTATACCTGCGATCAGTAATCCTATGTGTCCGACAGAGAAGTAAGCAATTAATGATTTTAAGTCAGATTGGCGTAAGCAGATGATTCTTGTGATTACCCCCCAATCAATGAGATTCTTATAACAATAGATGAGACCCTTATTCTTATTCATGGGAATATTCTAGATATTCGATATAGGCCAAACCCACCAAGTTTAAGTAGAATGGCTGCAAGAATTATAGATCCAGCAACTGGTGCTTCAACATGAGCTTTTGGTAATCAAAGTTGAGTTAAATATATTGGAAGTTTTACTAGGAACCCTATAATACACAGTAGTCATAAATATTTATTATAGAATGGGTAAATTAGTTGTCTATGTATTATAAAGTTTGACCTATTAGAATAATAGGTGATTATAAGCAAGCATACAAGTATTGGTAGGGATGCTAGAACTGTGTATATAATTAGGTATAGTCTAGCTTGTAATCGTTCTGGTTGATACCCTCACTTTATGATTAAAATTGCTGTTGGGATTAATGAGGTCTCAAATCACACATAAAAATACAGGATTTTGGACGAGGAAAAACATAAAAATAAGATAAAATTAAGCACTATAACAGTGATAATAAAGTATTCCCCCCTATTTTTTGTTTGATTAATTTTGTATCTTGCTAAAATTATTATGGCTGAGATTCAAAATGTTAGAATAATGAGCGGGGTTGATAGTTTATCTACCATTGTTAATCTAGAGATTATAAATCCGTTATAATAGGACATATTTAGTAGTATATAGCATGATATTACTATTAAATTAAAAATTAATAGTGATCAGTATTTGAAATACTTAGATATTGCTAGTATAATTAATAGTGGTAGAAAAATTGTTAGCATTTTCTCAGAGAAATATTTTTAATTATATCATTTCCATATAGACGTACTATAATAACTAGTAATGTTAGCCCTAGCCTAGCCTCACATGCTCCAAGGGTTAATATAACTACTCTAAGTAATGGTACTTGTGTATTAAATAAAGTTATGAAAAAAGATAGATAAAGTAGTATCCTAAGGGTTAGCGCTTCTAAGCATAATAGAATATGTAGAAAATGGGTTTTGAATATAATTAGATTAGTTATTGCAATAATTGGTAGCAGTACTATAATTAATATTTGATAAGTCATAGAACTAGGGTACAACCTTTCTTTGATTTACAAGACCAATGCTATATAAGCTTCTAGTTCACCAGATAGCATGAGTATTGATTTTTAGCCTCCAAAGCCAATATTTTTAATTAAATTACTATCTAATATGATATATTGTCGGAAATTTTAAAATAATAAATAATAAATTAATGAGGAGGAGGAGGATTTTTAAAAGGGTGACAAGGCCCCACGTTGGGCGCCAATTGTCGGAAATTTTAAAATAATAAATTAATGAGGAGGAGGAGGATTTTTAAAAGGGTGACAAGGCCCCACGTTGGGCGCCAATTGTCGGAAATTTTAAATAATAATAAATTAAAATGATAAGAGGAAGCAATCTCCTCCTCTATCTTTCTCAGGGAATTTTTGTATGGTCCGACAATAATTTTTGTGTATATTTTTATCGTGAGTTCGACCAGTCCTGTGTGGCACTGGGCTTTTTCGAATTATATGATTTTACTGAGTAACACACGAACGCGTAAAAATATTCGATAACAATTTTATTAATCGACGGAAGTAAATAAAAGGAATTGAACTAATGAACTCTATAATAATGTAAATGTCAATGAACAAACTGGAATACAGGAATTAGAACTCTTCTTGTCGGGTCTTCAACTTGGAATATGTTTCTTGGCGTTTTAATCG